TAGTCAGTCAAGGCTTCTGGCATGTGGAGAGGCCAGGGCCACATTCTAAAACTGAGATTCCTCCCCAGGGCTGCCCAGCAGTACCCACCTGCAAGGCCTCACAAACCAACTCCACATCCAGAACCTTCATCACAAACTCCAGGCATAACTGGGACAAAAACAAAAGTAAATTGTGTGGTGCTGTCCTTGCTTCAAGACCTCAAGTCCTACCCTAGAAGCTGGGAGTCATTCAGACTCCCAGCAGCCCCGGAGCCATCCTGACCTCCCAGACTTGGGAACCAGGGAATTGTTGGGACCTGTGATTTAGCAAGCCTAGAGGGCCTGGAGGCTAGCAAACTGAGCCCAGTGCGCCCCTAGTACACCTCTCTCCACTGAGACTCATCCAAAACTCCAGCCTCCTCTCCCCTCACTGTCTTCCCGCGCTGGGTCTCCTCCTTGACTCAACGGCACTTCTATTTTTAACAGAACCTTAAATTTCATGCTTGACATCTCCCTGTCTTCCAGAAAAGCACTGGGTGGTGCCAGCTGTCTCTTCTCAGAGCCACCCACCTCTCTTGGACTGCCATTTCCGGCTTGGCCACACCCTCTTGACTTTGACACTAATCTGACTGGCTGGACAGGCCTTTCCTTTTTCCTTATCTTTCAGTGGGGGCCCCCCCCCCCCCCCCCCTGCCCAAAGCATTCGGTGAGTCTCCACCGCCCTTGCATTGAAAGGGCTCCAGGAGAGAGAAAGTTGAGACAGGGGCCTTGCTGTGTAGCTTTGGCTGGCCTAGAACTTACTCTGTAGACCAGGGTGGCCATGAACTTGGTTTTACCCTCCTCTCTACTCTGCCTACCGAGTGCTGGAAATACAGGTATATACCACCACACCTGGCTAGTGCTGGGAATTGAACCCAGGGCCTGTAGCATACTAGGCAAATATTCTACCACTGAACTACACTTCCAGCCTAAAGCACAAATTCTTGAAGTACCTGCATGAACCAGCCTCCTGGTACCCTTCCAGTTCACCCCACACCATGTTCCTAGTCCAACCACACCACAGATCTAAGCAGCTCCTTGAGTGCCCTGTGACTATAAAGTCATCTTCTCACTCTCCTGAACAAACCCTACTTGTTCTTCGAGCTCTAACACAGAAGTGTCCTTCTCCAGGAGTCTCTCCGTACATCAGCAGTCTGCCTATCCCACTTAGACCCCTGCTTTTCAGTTTAGCTTTTTGAGATTTAAGTCTCACTCTGTAGCCAAGGCTAGCCTGAACTCCCTAGGTAGTTGCCATCCTCCCCGGCCTTCAGACACTGGGATACTAGCCTGCAACACCACGGCCCACGCATGTCAAATGTCTTCATGTGTCTCTCTCCATCCAACTATGGGCCAAAAACCAGTTTACCCTTGTACTGCAGAACCAACCAGAAATACTTCCGGTGCTCACTCACACACTGAGCATGTGCAGATCCTGTGTCCATCCTTCTGTCTGCATGAGAAGGTCAGGCTGTGTGAAGGAGGCTACGAACTAAGGCGAGGAAAACAAGATGGCCTGCCTGAGACACCCACCTCTCGAAGTTCCTCCAGCCCGTATTCCACAGCTGCTGTGAGCACCTCCAGCACCTGCACAGGGGTGGCAGTTGAGGGAACAGAAGGGAGTTTCCCCTGTCCCCCAACCCCCAGCAGAATGGGCAGACTCCCCGCCTCTTGTATCCCCAGCCCATCCCCTCCCCAGCCCCCTCCTTGGTAGGCTCACAGAGTAGCGGTGCAGCGTGACGCTGTTGGCGTACAGGAACTCCAGCACAGCTAAGAAGGCCTCGGTTGGCACAGTGCTTAGCACCACAGGACTAGGTACCCCAGGGCCCGGCTCTGTCCCCAAAAGTCTCTGAAAGAAGTTGCATCTACAGGCCAACAAGCACCGGTGGGCAAACACCTCTTGCCGTTCTTGACCAACCACAAAGCAAACATCACTGTGGAAGAAAGGACAGAGAGCCAGAGAAGGGAATCTTCTTGAACCTAGGTCACACTTTTGGTTTTGCCTCTGCCACACTGGGACTTAGCTTCTTTTTCTGTAAGGTCAAAGCCCATGCCCGGGAGACACGGGCTCAACTTTAGTCCCCCTTCCACGCTGTGACTTTCTGTCTTTGACTCTCAGACTTCTCAGCCGTGACCATGGGTCTCGGAGGAGTTGACTATGCTTGGGCAAAGGGGATGCCAGGGTTCGTGCGAACAAGATTGAGGGCTGTCCAGCCTGAGTCCCGGGAGCAAGGAAACCCCTCGCGAGACAGCACCCACGAGATGCCAGCTCAGCATTTTCACTCTTCCTCCCGTAGGAGGGTGTGAGGATGTGGGGTGCAGAGCTCACTGACTGCGAACAGCCATGGCAATGATGCACCATCATGAGGTGAGACCACATTTTCCATTTTCGCGATCACTTCCGGCCCCAGCCTCTGGGCCTCTGAAGCCCTGCATAAGGTACAGGGGGAGGCAGCTTCCCCTGCCTCCTCCTCCCAGGCCAGACTGTGACACTCAGCCCTCAAGAAAAAGAATTATGACAGCCACTAACCCTGGGGAGCAGGCAGCCTCTGAGACAGCGGGGATGGGAAGCAGCAATCTGTCTCCCATGACCAGCCCTGCCCCCAGTAAACTCCATTCCCAGTTTCAGACAGCACTTAGCGTCTTCGGCAAGCCGTGGGCGGTCAGCAACCTTGAACTACTTCCTGTCTGGGTCTCTGACCCAATCCTTTGGGCTCTGTTCCTCTTAGGAATCCCCGGAGTCCTCCACTCTTGTCTCTTCAAGGAAGGAAGTCTAGCACTTAGCTGACTACTAGTTAGATCAAATCCCACCTTTCAGGGCTGAGGGGGTTGGGGATTCCTCCTTCAATCCAGAGAAGGAAGGGCTTTGCCTGAGTTCACACAGCTGCCCTCCTGTCTATCCCTCACTGCCCTCACCTCTGACTCTCAGGATAGCATGGACACAGGCCAGTAGACACCATCTCTACTTGACTTCCTCATGGACTGAGTTCACCAGGGAGGCCAAGTGCTCTTTCCTGGCCTCTTCACCCTTAGCCTCCTCAAATTCATAGGCCGGTGAGAGCAAGCTAAAGAAAACCCACCAGGGAGTCACCACCTCACCTGTACTGGGGGTTGTTGACAAGACTTCGGAGTGCTGTGGAAAAGGGGGCAGCCTGCCCGTGCACAACCAGTCCTGGGTTCTCCATGTGTGGGATGAGCAGAAGAACAAAGGGTGGAATGGCCTGAGAGGGAGGGCAGGAGCTGTAGAGGCCTGAGAGGCTGAGGAGCTGAAGGTCAAGGACAAAAGAGACCCAGGTCCCTAAAGAAAACCTGAGGTTCAGGTAAGCGATGCGGGTTCAGAGAGGACCCAAAGAAGCTGCCGCTGGGCAGGCCTATGATCCCGGAGAAGCTGGTTGTAGATGAGGCCCAGGCTGGGAGCCTGCCCAGGCAGCGGCTGGGTGGGAAGCCTGTGAGTTTCCATGGAAACTGGAGCTGAGCCTGAGGAGGCCCCGCCCATCTCCCTATCCGCCTAGGCAAATATTTCAGCGGTAGAAGGGTTCTAAGAGTTGGAGGGTCCTAGTGCTGGCTCCCGCCTGCCTACACTGGGTTCAGAATGTAAGGCCTCTACCCTCCAATCCCTTCCCTACGGGTTCAGTCTAGAACCAGGATTAGCAGGCCGAAGACATCATCACCTCATTGGGGAAGATTCTTACCCCTAAGTGTGGCTTTCAGAACTCAGACTTAAGTTTGCCTGGGAGGGGCAGCCCCATGCCTCCCAGAGTAGGGCAGGCGAGGGGAGAGAAGCATCACAGGCTCTGGCATCACCAAGAGGCAATCATCCCTAGGGGAGAAGTATTATGTACTGGGTGATGAAGGAGGGATGGCCATCTGGGGACAAGTTCCAGGGCACCACTGAGTCATGGCCATGCTAGGCCTGGGTCTTTCCCACTGAGCCAAAAGGCCTCCCCTCCTCAGCACACAGCTCTGGCGTAAGGAAGTCATCCAAGCCCCACCCTAGCTCTGCCCTGAAACGGAAATGTTTGTCCTTGTTGAGGCTGATGGGAGAATGTAAAACCATGACGTACTCCTTCCTGTGAGCCCAGATACTGGATTCCTAAGAAGTCGCCCCCGTAGTCTCAAGGTTTTAGCACATCCCAGGCCCTTGTGATCTGTTCACAAATGGCCAGGCCAGCTGACTGGCCACTTCATAGGAAATAGCGGCTCAAAAGCAAACACACCTCTCTACACCTGCCCCCTCGTCTGTGATGCTTTAGAACTCCAAGGCCCTGTGGACCGCCCCCCACCCCCATAACTTAGGGTACCTTCCCTCCCCCCAGCAGGTGCTCATAGCAGTAACGCTTAGGTTATTCCAGAGTTTGGCTGGAGGGAGGAATTCTGGGAGGGAGTGGCATGCTTGCCACTGCAGTCCCATGGTAACTGCACAACACAAGCCTTCACCACCTACAGGCCTGGCAGAGACGGCAGCTCAGTGAAGACTGGGGGCCAGCAGAGCTTGGAGGTCAGAGGCTACAGGTGAGTCAGGTGCCTGAGGGAGTTTCAGATGGTTCTGAAGGAGCGCGAGACCTAAGGAGGAGGAAGGCCGGATGGCCGTTGCTTCACTCGTCGCCCGCCTCCAGATGCAGCAGGGCAAGGGGGAGATAAGTCCCAGCCTCCTCAGAGCAGGGAAGACGATGACGTTCCATGCCTCTGAGGCCAGAGAGATCTACGGGAGTGATGGGGTTGGGTCTGCCCCTTCTGGCTCTGGATTGAAGAAATCCAGAAACCAACTTCATGTCCCCATTCTGCTGGTGAAGTCAAGTGGGAGGGGAGAAACGAAGTGGATTTCCTGCTCACCCAGTCAGCACGGTGACCAAGGGAAAACTCTGGGCAGAGGTTCCCTACTCACAGACTGAGCAGCCTTCTCTTACCTCTAGCAGCTCTTAACCTTCTCTAAGCAGCCCACACACCAATTGGATCTGCTTGTTCCAAGGATAGAGGTAAGAAAGGGATATGGAGGAGCTAGACAGGTGATATATGCCTAGTCTACTCCGGAGGCACTGAGTGTGGTGGCACGGACTGTGCCACTCCACCACTTAGGGGCTGGAGGCAGGAAGGAGTTCAAGGCCAGCCTCAGCCACACAAAGAGTTGGAGGAGCCATGTGAGACATTGTCTTAAACACACACACACACACACACACACACACAGAGAGAGAGAGAGAGAGAGAGAGAGAGAGAGAAGAAACTTCAGCTTCCTTGAGCAAGAGGCTGATTATAGGGAGATCTGAGCCATTAAGGGCCACTCCTAAGTGTGGATCTTCCAGCAGGCAGAGCCATGGCTGGCAGGACTCTGCAATCAGGACGCCCAGAAGAGGATACTACCAAAGACCTGGCTCTGAAATTACCACCAGGGAAGTCTGGAGGTCACCTGGCCAGCATTGATGAGACCCGACCTGTAGGCCCAGGCCCAGCCTCCCGCCGCGGCTCCCTGATGAGCCTACACCCATCTTTTTCACGCCGCAACTCACTGGCGGGACCCCTAGTAGGTCTTGGAGGTCGACGACCATCCCTGAGCCTAATGCCCCCTTTAGGTTCACGAGTTAGCTTTTCTGGGTTACCCATCATGCCTGCCCGTCGGATGGCACCCTCATACCGCACCGAACCAGCGCCAGGCGAGCGCTGGGAAGCTGCAAGCGCTCAGCGTGTCCTGGAAGCAGCACTGGATGCAGGACTGAGCAATGTGTGCTACTCGGGTACCGAGGCGGGAAAACTGGCACAGGCGCTGTGTGAACAGATACGCATACGTATGCGGGAGCTCAGCCTACCCCGCTACAAACTGGTGTGCAGTGTGGTGCTGGGACCACGCGAGAGACAGGGCGTGCATGTGGCCAGCCGGGCACTCTGGGACGCAGTGCATGATGGACTGGCCTCTGCCACCTTCACCAACACTTCACTGTTCGCCGTGGCTACTGTCCACGCGGTTTACTGGGAATGATAAAGCCTTTAAGTTCTGAAAAACAGTTTATTATCCCAGGAGGAGGCCCCCCTGGGGCTCACATCCCAATAAATAAATGTGTTAATAAATAAAAGTGGTCCATAAATAATGCCCCCTAGCTGGGAGCTAAGGCTCAGGCTTATCTCAGGGAGAAAGGGTAAGAGACAGGGAAGACAGGCCATCCCCAACTGTAGTAAAGCTGGTCCCTGATTCCCTGGGGGACTCAGCCCAGAGCCCCCAGTGAGGCACCAAAGGGACAGGAGGGCCACAAAGGCAAGGACCCGAGTCTTTCAGGCACAGGCCTGGGGTCTGATCACAGTCTGCTCTGCAGGTTGGAACCTAAGCAGGACTTCGGTCCCTGAGCAAGCGCAGAGCATAGCGCAGCCGCTGCCGCAGGTCTGGGGAGCAGCCCAGCTGCCGGAGGTGGGAGGCGAGGTAAGTACAAGCACTGCGATTTCGGGCCACAAAAGTCACAAGGAGAGGTTCCCAGCCACTGAGAATCAGCTTTGTGTGGTCCCCATAGAAGTTCACCTGTGCACAGAAGGGTAACAAACAGCGTTCAGGGCTTGGGCACCAGACTCACACACCTTCCCAGAACCCTGGGCCTACCAGGCCATCCCTTCAACTCCAGGATGGGCTCTTACCTGGACAGTGCCATCACTGAACAGCATGAGCAGGGCCTGATCAGTCTTGACCCACTGCAACAGTAAGGGTGGGGCAGGCACCTCTACCTCTTCCACACTGGGCAGATCTCCACCCTGGGAGAACAGGCAGGTCAGGTCACTAGACTGGCATGAACTGGGTCTCTCCCTACGGCTGTCTCCTGCCCTTACAGGTCCAATCACTACCCTTGAGCCATCCTTCCCCCCCTCACAAACGATGGAGAATCAGAAGATATCAAAGATACCCAAGTCCCTAATGTTCCCCCACTGCAGCCTACGCACCTTCATGAGGTGCTGCTCCATGTAGGAGGCGAAATACCGCAAGATGCCCAGCTGAGGCTGCAGAGCACGGGGAACAGACCCCACAGAGAAGGAGAAGTGCTTCGCGCTGGTGGGGTTGTAGTGCACGATCCTGAAAGAATGTGGAAAGCAGAGGAGGAGCCTGGCGTTATTGCTCCTCCCCTTTGGATTTGAGAGCCCTGACCCGAGCACAAAAACACCAAGGTGCAACTCTGCTTGCTACAAACAGCCTAAATGCAAAGCGCCCCAATATAGCACTTACTTCCTATTGGCTGACAGGGCCATGTGTGTGCCATCGTTGAAGAGCACGGCTACACGGCGGCTGGACAGCTGATACCCAAAGCCAAACTTGTTGGAGTAGTCAACCCACTTGCTGACCCACACCAGAGGCTCTGGCTGTGCCAACGGGGCTGGGTTCTGTTCCGCTGTTACAGGAGAGGAGGGAGTGAAGACTTTCCCTGGTCTCTAGGTCAAAGAGAACTTTCCAAACTATTTGCATGGACCAGAGCCCAGCCTTACCTGGGGGCATGAAGGCTACACAGTTTCTCAGGGCACAGAGGGCAGACTCTACCACTGTGGCCACAGTCAAACCTTCTTCAAACCCTGAGGGAACAGGGCACTGACATTTAGGCAATAGCCTTCCTGGGCCCAGGTCATGTCCCTCGGCCAACCATTTCCTTTTGGCCCCTGGTCTCCACCCTAGCCACCTCCAGCACCTCTCATCTTCTGGCTCCTCACCATCTCCACTGCTTGCCAGTGTCCCACGGGGTGAGCTGTCCTCAGCGGCTGTCTCTACCAAGCTGATGGGGGCCGGGCCTGAAGCTGCTGGAGCCTGGACAGTTGGGTAGAGAGGGAGTGAGATTAGGTCTCAGAATCCAAACCCTTGAAAAGTCCAGGGACCCAGCCCTGTCCCTGACGGCTCTCAGGGCACCCTAGGTCAGCCTCAGCTGGCTAATGAGACACCGCCAATTAGGCCACCACGAGGTTGTATGCTTCATCAGCCTTTCATGCTGGGCTTCCCTCAGCTGCTAGGGTCAGGATTAGTCAGGGGAATAATGCTCACGTGAGCACCTCACCTCAGGCCTGACATCCGGGTGACCGAGGGATGTGCGCATGAGGCCGCTCACCAAACAGGAGACGTTATCCCGTTCCTCAGAATGGTTCTTATCTGGGGATGAGGGAACACAGCCCTCAGTGTCTGTCTGACCACATTTCCCAAAGTGTTCACACACAGGCAGGTCTTCCCACGTGTCTAGACACACATGTTCCCCCCAAGAGTCTACAGGTACCCCCACTGAAACCACCCCCTACTCAGATGAATGTAACAAGCCACTGCTCTCTACCCTGACCTCCTGACGCCTGACTCACTCACTCTTGTTCTTTTTCCTGCCAAACAGGCTCTTGGTGACTTTGGCAAACAGACTCCTCGCAGGGTTGGGGGGGGTCAGATCTGGGACTGTCACACAGCTGCTCACAGGAAGCCGATCAGGGGTATAGCCCTGAGGACGAGAGCCAAGCAAACAGAGAAGTGAGACCCCCAAGGGTCCTGCTCTTTCATGCTCTGAGAACATGCAGGCAGACGGAACCTCATCATCTGGAGATCCACAGACCTTTGTAAAGAAGTCATGGCGTAGGATCTGTTCAATAGAGGGGCGGTCTCGGGGTGAAGCCCGAAGAATGGCAGCCAGGAGCTGACGGGCAGGTAGTGAGAGGCTGGCAGGTAACGTGTAATGAACCTGCTTGATGCAGCGGTACGTTTCTTTCAGGTCAGCTGTCTCAAATGGGGGGCTCCCACACAGAAGTGTGTACCTGTGCCCAGGAATAGGAGGCCAGGAGTCAAGTACTAGGAAGTGGAACACCCTATCCATGCACCTGTCACCATCTGCTAATGACCTTGGCACTCACATGACACAACCAAGTGACCACACATCTGCCTCGGGGCCATGGCCTTGTCTCAGCAGCACTTCTGGGGCCACATAGTTGGGAGTGCCACAGATGGTCCTGAAAGAGGGTAGGGCGTAGAGGGGAAGGCTCAGACCCAGCCTAGCACCCGCCCCCATTCCTGCCCCTGCTGTGAGTTCAGACAAAGCAGCTGCCTGTCACCAAGGGCCAGAGAGCTCCTGCTTGTCTTGGGACAATGGATGTTGAGAATGACAGCTGAGTCCTCACCCACCCAGTCTGGTCCAGCTGCACAGCTGCTCTGCAGCACAGGAGGAGGCCTGACCCCAACGTAGCCCCCTCTCCCAAGGTCAGTACAGAGGGTCCACGGCTGATCCCTTCCCCCACTCCCGTCTGTCAAACCCTCATTAGGCTGCCACCTCCCACAGTCTGTGCTGCACACAGCCAACACCAGCTGTCATACCCTCCATAAACACTCACCTGCCACCCATGCTATCTGTGTGACACACACCCCGCCGCAGAGATCGTCTTAGACATAAGGGTATCATGTCCTGTCATTCCCACAGTCAGCCAGTCTCACAGACAAACGCTCACTGCCTGGTCTGTTTTCCCCATCCAACACAGACAGATCAGCCATACATTTCCAAAACTACTTAGACTCCCATCTGTGTCAGGGACTCAGCACCTGCCCACCCGCCCGGCTGAGTGGCCACCTCTACCTTCACACATCCAGACAGCCCATCACCCCATCCCTGTTTATCCCAAGCACACATCAGGTCACCTTGCTTTCCACATATACACTGTCACACTGGACACCATCGGTGTCACATACAGACTGTGGCCACCCCCACCCCCACTCACTTTTTCCTCTGCTCCGGGGGCTCTAACCGGGATGCCAGACCAAAATCCCCCACCTTCAGTTCCATGTTATCCGTGATGAAAAAATTTCCTAGAGAGTGGCAGAAAGACGGGTCAGATTCCTCACTGCCTCTCTTCCCTTCCCAGGTCCCCACCCTTCCGAAGAGACCCGGGAATCTCACCCAGCTTGAGGTCTCTGTGCAGGATACCCCTCTGGTGCAAATACTTGAGGCCAGAAAGGATCTGGCGCAGGTAGTAGCGAACCTCTGGTTCCAAAAGGGTGTGCCGGGCCTTCCAGATGTGGGCCAGGGACTGCAGAAAGCCACTGTTTCAGTCCCTGCTTGCCTTCCCAGACCCGCCCTCCATCTGTGCTTGCTAAGGACGACAGGAACCCAGTTTTGGATATTAAGAACCAGCTTCCTTCCTTTCCCACCCCTGTAAACGATGAATCCCCCCACCCCCATTCCGGACCCTTCGGCTACAGAGCTCCAGGAAAATGTATATGTTGTCAGCATCCTCGAAATGGTGCGAAAAGCGAACGATATGGCGGTGCTGTAGGTCTCGGTGCAACTCGATCTCGTTTAGGATCTGCGACGAGGGCGCGAGATCGTCATCTTTCCAGGGTTCCCACGCCACCATCCCCTCCCTACCCCTTGGTCCTCAGGACCTGAACCCACCTTCTCGCGCTGATGCGGCTTGGCGACGCGGCTCTGCGGGATGACTTTGACCGCGTAGGCTACACCGGTTTCGGTGTCAGCTGCTTCATAGCAGCGGGCGAAGCCCCCCTAAGAGGAGGAGGATGCATCGGTCTGGTCGCCCCAGGGAGACAGGATCGGGCCCGGAGGGCTCCCCTCTACCTCCGTGAGCGCCACCCCAAAGCCTCCGACTTACCTTGCCCAACAAGCGGCCCTTGATGTAGGTACGGCCACTGCATGGGTCGGTGATGAGGCGACCCGGGTCCGGCGCCGCTGGCCCGGCCAGCACCTCTGGCTCCGACCGCGGCG